CAGTATGGTTTATAATTACATCGTATTGTGTCTTCGGGAAAATGAGGCCCTTATAATAATAATAATAATAATTATTATTATTATTATTATTATTTAATTGTGGATAAATCGTTTTAAACAGTTCTGCAAATTTTTAAAGAGATATGAGGTTCTCACAACGCTCGTTATGAAGGTCCCTATCTTCTCTAATATTACGCCGTTAAGTCTAATAAAGTTTTACCAACGTTTCGGAGGAAGCTACTGCCTCTATCTTAGGCTAAGAAGAATAACAAGCTGGTCGTCAGTTGAAACCATTGTCAAAGAAGACCATCGGTACATCCTTACGTCAGAAGTGGCGGATCAAAGCACTGGGACATTGTACACAGCATCTTCTATACAGAATCCTTATGAATCTGTAGACACTCGCCACATCAGAGAAGTGACTAAGATAGGACTTGGCCGCGCCACAGCTCAAGCGGTTAGTCGCTGGCTTTCCACCGCGGCGGCCCGGGTTCGATCAAGTGGGATTTGTGGTGGACAAAGTGGCGCTAGGGCAGGTTTTCTCCGAGTACTTCGGTTTCCCCTGCCAATCTTTATTCCACCAATTGCTCCACAATCACCCTCACCTACCATGTGGGGCTGGTACAATAGGCCAGAAGTGGCCGCAGTACAAGGGACTTAGTCCCACCCCACTAGCTTCATAACTTTACGTTCCCAAATATTTTTAATTAACTTCCTGCTGGGCAACATAGTGTCTACGCTTGTTTGGAATTACATACGGAGAGGAAGAAACGGCGGCATGCCGAGGAACAGATGGTCTGCCGACACAAATGAAACCGGAACAGGCTGACCTGTGTCCTAATTTAAGATAATGGTAAGAAGGTAATCAAGGTTGCTGGGTGCGGATGAAATCTGTCAACCGTACATCATTTCTGCTCAGATCAAAAAAATGTCAAAGTCACAGCACTGGACTCCTGTTGCAACAGTAGCAGCCCGAGTTCAATTCCAGGTACGTTCATTCGGGATTTGGGCCGAAACAGCACGGAGGCAAGTCTTCTGCAAATACTTCGGTATCCCCTTCCAATTCTCATTCCACCAAATGCTCCAGTTCTCAAACCCATCATCCGAGTCTGTACAATGTCCTCAGTAGCTAGGAGTCACTCACACTGCTCTAAGAGCAAAAATAAGACACCGTTCGGACTTTCTAAATGGTGAAGCTGAAACCCCGGCGGCCCAACCGGTACATTTTGAATCCTAGTTTCGATCTATTGGAATAACGCCCCACCCGCGAGACGGCCGGAAGTGAAAGCGTTACATCACTACAAACGTCATTATAGCGACGTCACAACCGCAGTATCCATGGAGTGATCGAATTTTGGCACCAAAGACACGCATGGGTAATCATGAATGCAGCTACTTTCATATTCCAGACCGCAACCTCTTAGCATGGGAGGGGGGGGGGCAGACGGACACGTGATAGGTACCTACTGTTCTGCAGGTAAACTCTATGACGTAGAGAATGGAGAGGGGATAGAGTAACCTTTCTGAGTCCGCCGTTCTTCAAGTTTAAAACATTTCCCATGTCCCTTGAGATAATGGTGATAAAATGGGCTACAAGGCACCGCACTGTCCTGACATGATGAGCGTTACTGTGTTACAAAACCGAGCATGAGAAATATCAGGAGGTTAAAATATGTGAAGAAATCTTACTTACTCATGGAGCTGAGCCCTTCTGGAGGAGCCGCCAATTCTGCAGCTACTCAAGAGTTTCCCAGCAGTTTATGGAACCCGAAGGTTCATTACCGCGTTCACAAGAGCCCTACACTGGTCCATATCCTGAGCCAGATTAATCTAATCGATACCATCTAAACCTATCTCTCTAAGATCCATTTTAATATTGTCCACCCACCTACGCCTTGGTCTTCCCAGTGTTCTCCTTCCTT